AACAGGATTATCTTAATCAAAATAACTATAAATACCACTTTCTTATAGAAAATTGTTTTAAATTAGAGGAAATTTAAATTATGCTACAACATTGTTGTAATTATAATCTTCAGAGTCAATTAATTGATCTTTTTCAACATCCCATAACAAGATAGATACATTATTACTATCAGATGCTAAAGTACTACCATCAGGAGAGAAGGATAACTAGCGGACTGATTCACTATTCCACTCCAATTTGGTTTTTTATTAACCTGTCTAAACATCCCATAAACGAATTGAACTATCACTACTACAAGATGCTAAAGTAATACCATCAGGAGAGAAGCATACTATCAAGACAGTTCCCCTATGACCACTCAATATGGATTTTTATTAACCTATCTAAACATCCCATAAACGAATTGAGCTATCACTACTTCCAGATGCTAAAGTAGAACCATCCAAAGAGAAGCATAAAGAATTAATATAGCTACTATGACCATTTAATTTGGCTTTTTTTTATCCTGTCAATACATCCCATAAACGGATAGAATTATCATTATAACAAGATGCTAAAATAGTACCATCATGAGAGTAGCAAACTAAGTAAGCTTATTCAGCATGACTTTCAAAGTTGTCTTTTAGTTATCCTGTCTGAACATCCCATAAAAAGATAAATTTACTCTATTGACCAGAGGCTAAAGTAATGCCATCAGGAGAGAAGCATACTGAGTAGATGATGCCATTATAACCATTTAATTTGGCTTTTCTTTATCATGTCTTAGTATCCCATAAACGTATAGACTTATCCCAACTACCAGATGCTAATGTACTACCATCAGGAGAGTAACATACAGATTGGATATTATGATCATGACCATCCAATTTGGCTTTTTACTCTCCTCTTATTGCATCTCATAAATGGATAGATCTATCAACACTACCAGATGCTAATGTAGTCCCATCAGGAGAGAAGCACACTGATTCCACTGATTATATGGATTCTATTGTTAGCATGTCTTGCATAAAAGTCTTTAATCTCTTGGTAGTTAAGAATCAAGTATCACTTTTCGATTTGTTATTGATGCTTTTTGCTTAACAAATCTTTTTCTTTTTCTATTACTATTGGTTAAAAAATTTACATTAAATTTATTAATATTTAAATCATAATTCTCCCATATAAAAAAACTTTTTATAACATCATAGTATATAATATCTTTTTCAAGTTAAAAAAAATATCACAAAAAAATAAAAATAATATATTTTTTATATTTAAATAAATGATTTCTTTGAGAATTCTTTTATTAAATTTCAAATTTGACTATTAATGAAGGTTTAAAATTTGGATAATAAGAATGATGTTGCTTTTTCTTTTCAGTTCTAATTTTGAAATTTTAATTCTTGAATGTCTCTTTTTCAGTTTAATTTTCGATTTGAATAATAATCTCATAATATAATTTTCACCTCAACTAAAACAGATAATTGCAATAATAGAATTTTGAGAAATATACATTCCCTTTAAGCCTTAATCTATTTTAATATTGTTAAAATTCAAATATTCTTTTAAATCTGAAGAATTATTTTCATTTACTTAATTTGACACATTTCAATATATTGGATCTATCCTTCTTTAGACATTTTGAAATTGATGAATCATCATTAATATTAATTTCATCTACCTTTGATCAAATCTTTATTATATGGATTAGCAAATTATCAGCTCAAGTTTTACTATAAGTTTCAATCCTTTATATATTCGATAGCTTTATAGGGATTAATAATAATATTAAATGAACTCATCAATTCATTTTTTTCCTTACTGTTATTTTATCTTTTTTTTTATGTAGAATTGTTACAGTCTTCATTTCTAAATTATTTGTTCAATTAATGATAGATTTAACAAAGGCTCTTAAGGTGGAACCCTTTAACTGATAGCATCTGTCACTATTGAAATAGGTGCAAAGATATTAAAGATAAGTCATTGCACATAATTAACAGAAAATGATTGTAGATCTATTATGTTTATATATAACTATTAAGGATGATAAAACTTGTTGTATCTATGAACCTGAAATTTATTGAGGATACAAGAGTAGTAAAAATTTATTATAAATTAATGGCCAATCTAAAAAAAATATTATTTATAGTAAATTGAATGGATGTGAAGACAGAAGTTGTTTAATGCACCAATTCTATTGGATGAAATTATACTCATAAAAGTTGTAATGATTATTTGAATACTTGCGCTTTGAATAATAATCAACAAGGTTGTGTTCCTTAATTTATAACTTGTGGTGCTATCAAAAATTAGATTAATACTATGACGTAATATCAATAGATAAAACAAGATGCGCTTACGATATGAATTTTGATCGTTTGTTTTTAGTGTAGATAACTAGATTTGAATCATGATTTATGTTCATCAATGCTCATTTGATTGAGATTATAAAGATAATAAAGAATTTGAAGTATTTATGTAACTTGTACAAAATAAAATGTTGAGTTCTAGCCTTATTCTTTTGATATGTGTCAAGACTTAATCAAGTTGGTCCATTATTTAAGTAAAATTCTAATAATTTTGTAACAAATAATTTAACTTAAATTACTATATTACTAAATTTCTAATAATGAGAAACCCAATTATAAATTGAATGATCTTTAGCGATGATTGATATTAAAAATACTACTATTATATATGAAAATAAAGAAAACAAGGCAATTTATTTTCGTATATGCTTAATATTAATACATTTTCAATAACATTTCAAGCTTGATCTTTGTTTTATCAATGCTACTTTACATTATTCTTAAAATAATAGTAATTATAACTTTTTCTATGGATTTTTCATCCTCCATTCGGATAAATTGTTAAGGTTCTATCATAAA